GCACCACACCCTTACCACACCGGAATACTAACCAGTACATCTCCATGACCCGTTAACCTGCAAAAGGTAGCCTGTGCTGTGCCATGGCTAGTTCTGCCGGCAAGCGTGAGGTCTAAGTTCGAGGCCCCAGCTGGGCTCAACTTCTTGTAAATGATTCAGCATTCATGAGCAATTATGAATATATAAACAGAAGTAAAACAAACCGTCGATAACCATGCTGAACCCAAGGATAAAGGTAAGTCGATCGTGAGAGTCAACTCCACGTAATGTATCCACCACCTAAATGTTAGGAGAATTTTCAAAATCAAAGCCTATAATCGTCCCTACAGGAAACAGACCCAAAAAATGGATTCGCTCTGGAAAAGGTTCCGGACCTACCTTGATTGTGACCCATTGGCCATCTGTAGGACGTTCACTTCCACGACCATCTTTTACTACTCTCTTCATGAGTTGCCCACTGCCCAGTATGTCTTCCCATTCAGAACCTCTTTCCCTTACCACGGCTTCCATCCTACACGACTCCTCCAGAGCATCTGAGGACGGGCCTTTGACTTGTGACGCTAAGGTCTGCAAAAGCAAAAAGCTCATTACACCAATCGAATCAATAACTGCAGTGAATAGCGATGCAGATTTTTGAGAGAAAGCAAAAAAAATAATGATTCATTCGTATGCTAGCAGCCAAAATTCCTTAGTGCAGAAAAAGTGTTCGCTCATCACGGCATATAGTTCAAACGATATAGTTCCAGTTTCTAGGATGATACCAAGGCACAGTGCATAAATGGATACGTCCTGGCTCGAAGAAGGTGGAACAAATTTCTTGGGGAGGCTTTTCACTCTCACTATGTACAAGGAAACTGGCAGTCCGACTTAGGCAAAAGGGACCGAACAAATCAAAAACTTACACATTGAGGCAGTGTAAGGATAGAAAAAGGATTAGTTTCTATGAGTGTAGGTCCAGACATTGTGCAGGGTATTTAACAAGCACTGATAACGCAAAGAAAGAAACA